TGCGTGTGGTATGCGTGTGGTATGCGTGTGGTACCGAAAATACCACTCAAATGTAACCACCTGCTCCTGGTTCCTTGTACATCTATTGGGTAGTATTCGTTCCTCGTATAGCTCCAGATAATTTTCTGTTTTGACAGTCAGCATTTTCTAAACATCGACGTACCTTCTCTAAGCATGTATATACAAATACACATTCCAGTGTGTTTAGGTTGATATTCTCGTACAATCCAAGCGCCTTTCGGAGCGGCACACGTTTAAGCATCTACATACAGTTGCATGGATGAACACACAATCATCCACCATTATCTACCTGATACACACATAGTCCCTTGTACATATGTGCATGTTTCGTGTCGTCTAAATATGGCTCCCACTCGTCTTCAGGAGCTGCACTCTTTTAAGCATCTACATACAGTTGCATATACGAACATACAATCACCCACCAATACCTACCTGATACACACACCGTCCATATACATACATGCATGTTTCGCGTCGTTTTTAAGTATGATCCCAACTCGACTTCAGGAGCGGCGATTGCCCTGCTGGGGCCGGCATCAATGCTCGCATGGGGCTGTGCGGGTACCACACTCGGTTACTGGTGGATTGGAATCCGTGACATGTCGCAGGTATGTCTATCGTACACGTGCTGAGCGCTGCACTTGTGCATTCGTGTGGTTGTACTAACCCTATATGTGTGCAGCGCCATTCAGCAGCACATTCGTACAGTGATACTCATCCCAAAATGTCCATTGCAACATTTCTTATCACAAAATGGGCTTCTTCTATGTGCATTGAAAAACCAAGTTTTAATTCATATATATATCCTACTTGTGTATCATCTGTTGAATTGTTCTATCCTCGGCTGGCTGATTTAATACACAAGGCACCATGCATCTGGCTGGCGCAGAACGCTTCGATTCTCATGCGTGCGTGTGCGTGTGCGTGTGCGTGTGCGTGTGCGTGTGCGTGTGCGTGTGCGTGCGCGCGCGTGTGTGTGTGTATACTCCGAAAACGGGCGAAGAAAACATCCTCCTATCCCACCAGGATATATTCTCATTCCGTACCTTGTATCACCCGTGTGCACACAGAGAAAACACACCATCCGACGCAACTTCCCAGTGCTGGGGAACGTGCGATATATATTCGAGACCATCCGACCGGAAATCCGCCAGTACTTCATTGAGAGTGACAGCGAGTCAGTGCCCTTCAGTCGACAAGCACGCTCTATTGTCTACCAACGCTCCAAGAACGTTAGTGATACCCTGCCCTTCGGAACGGTACGTACTCTACGCACGGATAGATATACGTATATGCAAGTATAGTGCGTACGCTCGGATATATGTGGAGGCAGGTATAGAACTTACTCAGATATACGCTTATGCGTGTGTGTGTGTGTCTGTACGTATTTTCAGATATATGCTTTTGCAGGTATAGTATGTATTTAATATTCTGGTATATTTGATACTGTGTATAGGTACAATACCTAGTCTCCGATATACGTTTATGCAGGTGTGCGCGCGTGTGTGTATGCGTGTGTGTGTGTACGCACTCTCAGATATACGTTTAAGCAGGTAGAGTACACATCTATACATTCTGGTATGTTTGACCTTATGTAGTTGCATAGTGTGTCCTGATCCACTTGTACTATGATGAGAATCATGGTGAGTCTGCGTGCTTCAGTCGCTCAAGCACGTTGTATAGAGACGCTTGAAACTCGATAGCCACACTCATCACTTCAGCATTGTGCTTGCTGGCAGACATATGTATCTGACTTCAAAGATTGTGTTAGTATTTGTGTACGTTGCTGGCTGTGTTGCACGCGATGGGACCCACCCACACGGTGCAAAGGAGATAATATGATCTATCTATATATATATATATATATATATATATATATATATATATATATGTGTGTGTGTGTGTGTGTGTGTGTGTGTGTGTGT